AGCCGCACGGAGCCGTACCGTGCCGTACCATGCAGTGGAAAAGCGCCATTAGTTCAGCACTCACGCGACGTGCCATCTGACAGACAGCTTTCTGTGAGCGTGCTTCTGGTGTGTGTGCTCAGAAAACCATATATCAGAAGTTTAAACTGATAGGGTTTTAAAACGCATACAAATAATAAACTTTCATGATGACGAAGAACAGCGAGTTTTTGCTTCCACTCAAAAATGGCATTTACAGCTTGGAATAATACATTATCTGTGGGTATTTTGAGCTGAAACTTCCCAGACACATTCTGGGGACACCTGATACTTATATTACATCTTGTAAAAAGGGGCATAATAGATCCCCTTTAATATGATATGATATACCAAAAGAAAAAATAGAAAATCACTCACTGCTCTTGACTGAATAACTTTAGTTGCTTCAATAAGAACACATTTCTTGAATGCTGCTGTTAAATGCTCTGGCGAGGAGATAAACATGGTGGACCGTGTACAGCTCACTCAGGGTGGGAGCTAAGCTAATAGGGCAGATCTGTTGCCAGTTGTGAGTGGGGCCTTTTCCAATGTGACGTCACTTTGGAGTACATTCCTGCATGGCTCATTTCGAGACACTGTTTCTGATTTATGGATAAAAATAACAAACAGAGTGGATGGATTACTACCACAGTAGGGTGGTTGTGTACAAACACTGTGGACACATTAGGGCCTTTCGCACCGCTTTAGTTCCAGAACTAAATGTACAGTACTAAAGTACTGGGACGATTTTGCGCGAACTATTTCCCAGTACCATTTAAAGAGTTGCATTCACACCGACAGTGTGTACTAGGAAGTGATGTAAGCCGGTCGACAGCGACGTCATTTGTGCGCGGTGTTCAACAACAGAAACAAAGAAGAACAACATTAACAACAGGAGGATGGAGGACGCTGTGATCGGAGCTGTGTTTTTGTTGTGTCTCGCGGGTTTCACAATAATGGACATGGAAAGTCAACGTATACGTAAAGCGATTGAAAGAATGGAAAGGAGGACCAAGAATCTCCAACGACAACTGACAGTGCTACATTTGCTACAAGTGCCTGCACTTCAGCGTCCGTCCATCTATCGCTGTTCTCCATACTTGCGAAATAAGTTGACAAAATGTTTACAGTATGTTTACACGGCGTTTTAAATCATGGCGGGTGAGGGCGTTTTCATACGCGTTTGGCCAATCAATGTCTACTTACGTCACGATTAGTACCAGTTGTGCTGGTTAGACCCTGCTCCAGAGTAGGAGCTAATTTGGTTCTCGAAAAAGGCAGTCCGGTACTAAAATCGCACCCAGTTCCGGCGGTGCGAAAAACGCCAAAAAGTGGGTAGTTCCACAATTAGTTCTGGTACTATGAAAAGGTTCCCGCGGTGCGAAAGGCCCTAATATTATGTTCAAAAACAATATAAAAGTGAATTTTGTGTAACAGGTCCACTGTAAAGGTTTGGGAAGCAGACGGATGCTTAAGTTGTCATTGTGAAATTGTTGAGTTTTTAAAGTTTCCCTTATAAAACATCCCTGTCTGTGAGAAAGAGATCTAGGCAATAAGCAAGAAAATGAGAGGTGTATATACAGTAAAGAGAGGCTGGTGACAGACTCGTGGCTCCAGTCGGAAGACAGATTGTTTTTTTTTACTTTCTGCTCTGACTCAGTGAACTGAACTATAGTGGTTAGACATATTAGGTATGCAAAACACCAAGCACCTATTTCAGATACTCTTTTTCTTCACTCTTTATTGCACTTTGAGTGATTCTTACAAAAAAAAGGCGATATTCACTTTACTGTACATGCAAGTCAGGGGGCATTCACACAGAACGTGTTTTTTGCATTCCTTTGCACATGCTTTTCCATTGTTTTTTCTGTGTAAACAGGCTAGACAGATGTGTTTGACTGTTGCACACATGTCTCGAATCTTTTGCAGTTTCTCACGCATGACGCAGCATTCTAAAACATGGCACTCAAGTTAAAAGAAGCTTGTGTCTATACATCTTGCACTTGTTTTTCATTCCTGCCCTGTTTTTTTTTTTTTTAATGCAAAAACACATTCGATGTGATTGGCCCCTTAAACTGCTCTTTCCTTTTGGCAGTGATCCGGGGAGGTCCTCTGGAAAACATGTACAGGCTTAAACAGTTTCACTTCCACTGGGGATGCAAGGGTTGCAGTGGCTCTGAGCATACGGTTGGTGGGAAAACCTATGCTTCTGAGGTGAGGGGGCAGAACAGGGACTCTCCGTCTGCTCTGTGTATATATGTATATTATATTTGTTTACACAGTCTTCGTTATCACAGTCTTTTGGCCTGAACTCTGTCTCTCGTCTCTCTCCAGCTTCATCTGGTTCATTGGAATGCCATAAAGTACAAGTCCTTTGGTGAGGCAGCAGCAGCACCTGATGGCCTGGCTGTCCTTGGCATCTTTCTGGAAGTTAGTCTTAGTGGGAATCAGCACGCATTTAAGGGAACCAAACCCAAAAATGAACATTTGCTGAAAATTTACTCACCCTCAGACCATCCAAGATGTGCATTGTTTCTTCATCAGAACAGATTTGGAGAAATTTAGCATTACATCACGCTCACCAATGGATACTCTGAAGTGAATGGGTGCTGTCAGAATGACAGTTCAAACAGCTGATAAAAACATCAAAATAATCCACAAGTAATCCACATGACTCCAGTCCAATTAATGTTTTGTGAAGCAAAAAATATGTATTTTAGAAGAAACATATTGTGGATTATTCTGACGTTTTGCCATTGCTGAGCTAGTGATGTAATGCTAAATTTCTCACAATCTGTACAGATGAACACAAACTCATCTTGGATGGCCTGATTATGTGTAAATCATCAGAATTTATTTATTTTTTTTGGCAAATTATTCCTATTGAGACAAATAACAAAATAATGTAGCATTAGTTCAAGAGCATGTGGTTTTGTATTAGAATCAGTCACATTATTCAATTGGGGATAAGATTTTTTTTTTTAAATAAACAGATCCATAAAATAACACTTTTTAATATTACAAAAATCAAGTACAGAAAGATATAAATATTTACAGTAAAATGCATATTATACCTATTCTAATAATGTTTTTTATTTTTTGTTTCAGATAGGTGATGAGCACAGTGCTCTTCATCAGATAACAGATTCCTTGTATATGGTTAAATTCAAGGTATGTGTATTTATGTAGTTTAATTTATGAAAAATTGGGAGGAAACAAATTTATTTATACTATTTTTGAGAGAAGTCTTCATGTAGCTTGCCAAATGGATATGGCATTTTAGTCCCCTTTTTTTGCATCTGAATGAATTTGGAAACACCCAGATGCCTCTTTGCATGTGATTTCATTTGGAAATATTCATCTTGAAATATGTTAATCAGGTTCTAAGGATTCAAATGAGCACCTCTAAGTTTTTTTATTTTTTTTGGTCAGAGTGTCTATGACACTACCACAGATTAGTGGTTTTGTATTTAGAATATTTGACTTTCCTGAATTATCTGGTTCCCTTTCAAGGGAACTTTGAACTGCGTCCTCTGGCTTGGTGAACGAGTCGGAGGCGGTTTGGCAACAGCTGATCTGTGACTGGAGAGTGCATGGTAGGAAGTGGCGTAGATTCCGGAAGTGATCCGGAAATGGAGGATGAAGTGCACCTCTTTCGCTGGTTTGCCAAACCGCCATAAAACACCAGAAGAAGAAGAAGAAGAACTGCGTCCTCTAGGGGTCGCTATGGGGAACGCCTCGTCGTACCTGCACGCGATGTCCTTGAGGGGGCAATCCGCGTTCATTGCGAGCGTATTTTAATGAAAAGCTCTACTCTCGTTTCTCTCTTTTCGAGGAAAGGGAGGGCAGCCATCTGCTTCCCGCGGCTCAGGACCCACCGCTGCTGAGGCACGGAGGAGGATGGGCTCGTGGGGATCGCAGGTGGATCCGGCTGATGAGTTTAAAAAGGTTTTTTTTCCCCCTCGCGCTCGTCGGGCAATATGGTAGAGTTGGTACTTAGTGCTCGCCATGGTTCCGGCTTGCACTCCCCTCAGCATGGCGGCGTGGGTATATCGTTCCCCATAGCAACCCCTAGAGGAAGCAGTTCGAAGTTCCCTTGAAAGGGAACGTCTCAGGTTACTTATGTAACCATGGTTCCCTGAGTAGGGAACGAGACACTGCGTCCTCTAGGCTTTCTGCCATGCTTCGAACGCAAGCTTCAGACGAAGAAGTGAATGACATGTTCTCCCGGCGCCTATTTATACTATAATCACACCGGTAGTGATGTCATGTGCTTCGCCGGCCAACGTGTTGTTGGTGTTTTTTCAATGTATGCTTCAGACACGGGCCACGACGAGGCGTTCCCCATAGCAACCCCTAGAGGACGCAGTGTCTCGTTCCCTACTCAGGGAACCATGGTTACATAAGTAACCTGAGACGTTATTCAGCATTTTTTTTAACCTTATCTATGCATTTCTAAATGAATCAAATAATTTAATTTTATTCATTTTCTTCAATTATACTTACGTATTTGACATTTTAGTTGAATTTTCGCAAAGACCCTAACCAAATATCCGGTAGTGTAGAAAACTAAATGTAATATATTGAGAATTGGCCACTGAAAAAAACATAGGCCTATTAGTCAACCACTAATCAAAATATTGTGGCATGTGTCTTCAATATATTGTGGATACAGCCCAGTTCAGAGCATCTTTATTTCCCAAAGCTCTGCATTACAGTCCAATAATTTTATGCTAGTTTTTATTATTATTTTTTTTATCTCTTGTAGAGAAGTGTTGCTGATTTTAAGGGCTTTAACCCAAAGTGCCTCCTGCCGAACAGTCTGGAGTACTGGACATACCCAGGCTCTCTCACAACTCCTCCACTGTATGAGAGCGTTACATGGATTGTGCTGAAAGAACCTATTTATGTGTCAGATAAGCAGGTGGGTTGCTTTAACTTTATTAACCTTATTTATAGACTGTATTGCTAGTGTTTGCCATGACCAACATCTGGTCTATTGACAGATGTCGGTTTATGAAAATTAATGGTTGTGGAGGGAGATGGATGTGGGAAGCATTGGTAAATCATTGGTAGTGATGTAAATTAGGGATAATCCACAGTATCCCAGAATGCTGGGGGTGACAGTGAATCTGGTCAGAAATGATTTCATCTGCTGACATGATTGCATGTCTGGTTTCTGTAACTGATTTTGCATAAGTAAATGATTATATATTGTGTGTGTGTGTGTGTGTGTGTGTGTGTGTGTGTGTGTATATATATATATATATATATATGTATGTATGTGTTATATATATATATATATATGTGTATGTGTATATATGTATGTGTATATATGTATATATATATATATATATGTGTATATATGTATATGTGTGTGTGTGTGTGTGTGTGTGTGTGTATGTCTAGGTGTTTAAAAGTGTCTGATTGAGTGAGCAAAGAATCCTTGTGTGAAATAATCCTTTTGTAATGAAAGGGGTTCAACTCAGAGTTTACGTTTCGTTCAGAAAAAAAAATGTGCACATCTTGCCAACATTAAACAGAGCTGAAATCCTACAGTGGATTCAACACATTATAGAGGTAATTTTAGCCCCAGATTTGTGCAATATACACTACAGAAATTATTTACCAGGTTTTAATCTGCAAAGATGCATTAAACTGAAGGGTGACAGCAAAGACATTTAAAATGTAACAAAAAAAATGTTTAAAATAAATGCTTTCGTTTTAAACTTTCCAATTATCATATCAAATTTATATCACAGTTTCCACAAAAATATTAAGCACCACAAACATCATGTGACACTGAAGACAGAAGTAATGGCTACTGAAAAATCAGCTTTACCATCACAGGAGTAAACTACATTTTAAAAATAAATTAAATAATAATAAAAATGTTTATTTAAAAATATTTATTTAATTTTTATATTATTTTACTTTTTCACAAACAGTTTTTACTGTATTTTTGATAAATGCAGCTTTGGTGAGCATAAGAGACTTTTTTTTTTTTTTAAGTTTTAAAAATTCTTACTGACGCCAAACTTTTGAATGGTATATCCTTTGCTTTGAAGTGTTATATTACTAGATTTGCATTTCAGATACATAAGTCTATGTCCATCTGAAAGACTGCTGTGGATTTGGTCTCTGCCTCCTGTCTAGTCCCTCAGACTTTGTACTAGGAAATTGAATTAAAGTAAGCATGAGCAGTTTGGCATGTTGGCGGCATGGTTGTGACAGTGGCCTAGTGTGTCTGGCATGAGGCCACAAGACTTTGATCTTGTACAGCTTATTAAAATGATTGATGAGCTATAAGTAGAAAAAGCTCAGGAGATTCACAGCATGGAGAACCAAGCCTATTACATAAGACTTGGTACCAAAGTTGATTTCTTCTGCAGTGCAGCTTGTCACTTTGCCAGGTTCTGTCTTACATGCTGTTTTTCATGCTTTTTGGACTTAGATGGGAAAGTTCCGGATGCTGATGTTTAATGGAGAGGAAGAAGAGGACCGAAAGCGCATGGAGAACAACTACCGACCACCACAGCCACTGACAGGCAGGACAGTTCTGGCCTCTTTTAAGTAGCCTGGTTGCTTATTGGTGACCTGAACTGCCTAGACCACCAATTATGATCAACTATATTTCAAGGCTGTTCTAGAATCGCCTCCGAGGTTGAAGCATGAATAATAAGGGTGTGGGGTTTGTTCAATCATGTCACTCTCTGTCTGTTGCTTAAAGGTTTTGGCCAATGACCTCAAACACAGTTTGACTTTGACATTGAGCTCTTTGAATCCGAGGCTCTACATTTTTAGATCCCTTCTCATCCACCTTGATCAGGCTTGTGCAAACAGATCCTTTTTGCAGGTGGCTGAGATATTTGTTCTTTCAAATGGTCCAAGCTGATGGGGTCTGATAAGCTGGCTGCCGTCTGCTTTCTCACTGCTATAGGAAAGGGTCAGTAATCCAGGATCCTGAAATTTAACCCGTTAGTCGCTACCAGAGGCTCTTGCTAACTTTTGATATAGGGCATGTGTGGTGTTATTTAAGCTTTTCATAGTAAGGCTCATGGTGCTTCCAGGAACATAGTCCTGGAGGTGGCAGGATGGCACTCCCATTAACAGTGAAAGTTGCATGAATGCTTGGAAATGCCTCAGTAATGTAAGTAGATAGCATTTCTGTTTACCTGATTGTTGTGACTCCATGAAGTAAGTTTTTACAGAATCTTTATCAACACTGCTGCAGTCACTGTAGTGAATGTTCCTGTGCCGTCAGTGTAGCCTTATACATGCTTTTACTGTAATAGTAGGGTGATGTTTGGAGGTTAAAATGACTGATGGATTACACTGTGCATACTTTAAAAACAGTTTCTATTATTGATGTAATTCCTAATGGAATCTATGGCATGGCTGTAGGAGCGTTACCGAAGATCTCTAACAGGTCAGTGCCATATTAAGTCTCGACTCCTGGACAACATCCAGCTGAAATGGCAGGGATTTTCTTTTGGGTGTATTTGGTGGCTGGCATGGTTTCATATATATTTTATATTGTATTTAGTTTTTGTTAAATATGTACTAAATAAAATTATTTTAATAATCCATGTGTCTTTGTTACTGACATTATTTGTCTCTATATTTGTGCATTAAAAGCTACTTCTAGATGCATTTATTTGGATGCAGTCAGATAAAGTTACAATTCTTTCTAGCCACTAGAGCTTTTAGTCCTGCTGCTTGCTTCAAAAATCAAATAAATGGAAAAGAGGTAGCAAGGAGTGGCTTGAGACATTCTGCATGTTTGTATTCTATTTTTGTATTCATCTAGCCTACGTAATACTTCACCTTGCATATAGCACACAGTAAGATCCCAAGTGTCTCATGACCACTGTAATAAATATATAAATAACTGACAGCACAATAACATTATTCCCACTAAATATTCATTAGTTTCTTTTAATCAGACAGTTGTCTCGTATTAGGGATTCATTTTAAAAAGGGGGTACTAAACCTCTCTGGCGCCCTCATAAGGTGACAAATGGATCAACAATAACTTCCATTTAGTTTGTAGATGAGCTCGGTTGTACTCAACATTAACCAGTCTAATAAGTGACAATCTTTGGGTTAAAATAGCTGGGTGAATTTGAATTTCCATCCTATAGCCATATGCAACAATTTCTGCAGCACCAATACATGAAGACATGGACCTTAAATTAAACCACATACAAAGTTGCATGGCACTGCAACTGTAAACGAATCTGTAATGGCAGGTTGTTGTTTTTTTATATTCAAGTTGGCTAGTACTCTGAAAACTAACCATTTCAACATCATGTATTCATCATTAGCCTACCATGTGATTTATGGACCATCTGTGCCAATAATATTACAAACTTAAACCCTGTAGCTGTGGCACTGCAGATGAAATGCACCAAACAGTAAATCTGCAATGAAGCTTCGGTATAGTAATTCAGCATTAATTATAAATGTCTTCTATTTAAAATATTTAATGTGTTCCATTTTAAATCATGTACATATATATATATATATTATATCATTGCAAAATACAAAGTATGTGATAATACAGACTTTACACATTTTTATGAATTTATGTGGCTGTACATGTAATATATATATATATATATTACATGTACAGCCACATAAATTCATAAAAATGTGTAAAGTCTGTATTATCACATACTTTGTATTTTGCAATGATATAAAATTAATATTACTTTTCCTATCTACTCTTGATCGATAACATTTATCTAAAAATTATGAACTTTTATTATGATTATGAAACTGCAGAGCAAGCAGTTCTGTCCTCAAAAGCTCATTCAGTTGAATGTCATGTCATGAAGTCATGATGGACCTGAAAGTGATCTGAAATCAGTAAATTCTGAGTTGTCTACTACATATATTCATACATACTATATATATTTACACCCCATAAACTCTCAAGCCTTTACCAAAAAAAGCATTTTTCCGCAACACAGCAATTTTTCAGCTCACGATTCAGCCACTGTTTGCAGCCTTTAGAAGTGACAGAGGCTGGAGAATGTTTAACCTTGTCGCTCTGAGTCACTATTTCCCTGCAGGGAGCCGTCTAAGTGTCTTAGTGTGGAATATTCAATAGCACAGACTTGTTCCATCAGATAATCAGGCTAAGGCTCATTACACGGGGAAAGAAAGGGTAATACGGAGGACTGAGGGGTGCACACTGTTTGTCCAGTCATGTGCTGCCGTGATATGCACAGCAGACACGAGCAGTAATAAAGCCTGGAACATGATGTCTAATGCTGCAATTAGTTGATCTTTGACATTTGCTCAAGGTCTTTCCTTGAATGAGACATTTTTTCAAGTGCCAAGGAGGCCTATAATAACTGGAGAAAGCATTCAAGGGCAGTTGCTCAGCTGGCACATGTCTGCTTAAGGCAGGGGTGTCCAAACTCTGTCCTGGAGGGACACTGTCCTGCAGAGTTTAGCTCCAACTCCAATTAAACACACCTGAACCAGCTAATCAAGGTCTTACTAGGCATACTGGCAGGTGTGTTGAGGCAAGTTGGAGCTATACTCTGCAGGACAATAGCTCTCCAGGACCGAGTTTGGACACCCCTGCCTTATAGACACTCAGTTCCAGACACAATTGTGTTGTCAAATCACCAGAGTTGTAAATGCCATGTGTGTTTCAGGAAACAATATATTCACTTATGAAACAAGTTTCTGTTACAGTACCAGAACATAAAAAAAAAAAAAGTCTCAAAGGAAAATAGTGGTTGTTATGCCATCCATGATGTCAGAATGATGTTATACGGCACACCTTCCAGCAGGCATTGTTCTTAAGTTATTTATTTTTACTTGCATTGTATGGAACTGAGTTCACTTTTAGTTCTAAATGGCAACATTTTTATTGAAATAATAGATTTAATGATACTTTAAAAGACTACATGTGTTTTGTGCTTTTGAAAAAATATATAAATTTTCAGTATTTCAATTTAAATGTTAAAAACACTTACACTCAACACTTCTTTTTCCTGAAGGGTGTCTACATTGTAAAAAAACACTTCAAAGAAAAAATATATCCAACAATGAAAAAAGTGTGAAACAATTTTCACTCATAATTCATCATTCAGAAAAACTCAGAAACAAATACAATAAAAATAAATGGCAAGTAACACACTGAACTGAACATGACATTTTGAAGTAGAAAGTAGAAAGACATGTAAAACATACTCCAAAAAAATTTTTTTTACAGTGTCCACCCATTTTTTTTTCTCCCTGTGCAATTATCATTACCCAGCAGATGGCAGCATAAACAAAGTGAACCGGTTTTAGCCAGGCTCTACAAGACGCCTTCAGTGTAGGCCTACTTCATTTTTACAACAGGCGCCCTAGGCAAATGAATTTTTATTAAGTCAGAACATGTTATATTATATTCTATTATATATTTGCACTAAAAAAATAACAACAACAAACAAACAAACCTGTATCATATACATTCTATTTATAACACCCAATGACATCATACACACTTCTTTTCTCCAAGGTCATGCATTTCCTGATGACATCATAGTATCTGATTCTTTACATGAAGTGATGATGTCATGCTTTTGGTTGCTAAGTGATCCCAGGTGGAGCCATATCTCTGTTGTCTCCATTGTCTGTTATCTGTCATTTGAGCAGTCTGATTCATGGAAATGTTTCTGTTTGCAGCTTCATTAACAATGAATGAGGCTGGATGCCTAGTATATATTTAACATATTTGCAGAAATAGAGTTCCCAGAATAGCCACTGCGCACAGATTGAGGATACCTGAGTAAGCACAAAATGTATGGCTGCAATCAATGTGGCATGTAATGTAAACTGCATCTGGATGTCATAAAAATAGCAAGCTGATATTTTTGGCAGCATGGATATCAATGATATCAACCGCTGTCTCAATCTGAGAAATAACCAATATTGCCCAAGGGAATACAAAAGCAGACTCTATAAACAAAGCTATGCTATTGCTACCTGTTAGTTGTTAGATAAGAGACATAGTCACGAAAATACATGTAATGAAATGTTATGGTGTTTTAGATATTGCCTCACGCTCCTGATCCTGTTTATCTCACAGGCTAAGAATACACCATCAGACAACCATTTACTGACATTTAATCATAGCAATCCTTTTTTTTTTTTTTTTTTTTTAATTCACAGCTATTTAGAGGGTCAAACGCATTATTCAGCTGCAGTATAGAGATTATGCAAGACTGTGATATCAGTATCTGCAGTCAATCAGTCAATCTAACTGAGATGTAAAGGGATCATTCACCCAAAAATTTAAATAATGTCATCATTTACTGCCTCTCATATCATTCCAAAGTTGTATGACTTTCTTTCTTCTGTGGAACATAAGGAAGTTATGTTGTTTCTCCTCTTTTTCTTTCTTTCTTTCTTTCTTTCTTTCTTCCATATATGGAAGTCAATGGCTACCAGCAACTTTTTGGTTACCAACCTATCTTACAAATATCTTCTTTTGTGTTCAGCAGAAAAATAAACTCATACAGGTTTGGAACAACATGAGGCTGAGTAAATGATGACAGATTTTTCATTTTTGGATGAACTATCACTTTAAGTAGAGAGATTTAGATCAAACGGTTTGAGTGATTAATAATCAATATCTAACGTGAAAAATATGTATTTTATGTTATCCATGTTATCCGTCTGCAACAACATTGCGAACTTTTATAAAGATACGCTTGGTTGTGAACATTTAAATGCATCATTATGCAAACACATGAGGAGAATTCTCCGCATGAAAGACCCACGACTGGCAGATCAACGTGCTACTTCATTTCTCTCCAATACAGCAGGAAATGAAATGAAATGAAATGTGGAGGATGTTAATTGTGACAAGATGATTGACAGGGCAGTTTAAACAGTGACAGGATGCACATAACTATGCGACAGAGTGGTCTGTTAAATATGCAATTATGACGAAGTAGTATGTCCCAAAGCTTGACTACTCTTCTGCTACACACTCAAAAATATTTTGCTTCACGAAAGCAGTGCGTTCTTTTAGGGCATAGTATGTGGACTGGAATGCTTGAATTCTCTTGTTTTATTCAGCCTTTTGCAGACTAGAGTGAGGAGATGGTAAGTTTGAGTGTTAAACAGGGGGCAGTCAATGTAGGTCAGGTTAAATTCACTGTACTGTACCGTATCTCTTCACAGGCTGATGTTGCCATGGTTACAAACAAACAGTCTTGCACACTTCACTTCTATATACCTCTGAACAAGCAATCTTTTGTCTTCGTACATCAGACAAATAAAAGGACACTGAAATATCTTCTGCATTTCTGTGAAATGTGATGTTCCACAGGTATTTTTATCCAGGTACACGTCATGGAGAGATTTCATTGAAATTCGCCTACGTTTCATTCGCTGAGACCAATGGGAGTTCTCTTCTCAACCTTGATCTTGAGCAGTCATACCCTGTCAAATCAAAGTCTGTCACCATTAGTCACAGCACTGATGCTACACACGCA